TCGTCAGACTAGTCGCGTTAAATTACTCGCTCGAGGTGTTCTTTAAGTATTTTTTAGTTGTAAATATAAATTAAACATTAAAGTTTTATCAAAAGAGAGTATGTGTGTATATTTTTATTGTTTTTTAAAGAGTGTTACAATCTTTATCGAACAAAATTACACATTTATGAGACAAATTTTTATTGTTTTGAAACAAAATTGAATATAGGTGCAATTTTAATTTGTTTTGAGACAAATTCAATTTATTATGAGACTTGTTTCATTTGAATCCGAACTAACTGTACAACTTAATTAAAAAAGATATGTGTCAAAAAAGACATATCTTGACTTTTTAATTGTTTTTGAACTTATTTATAAAATGGTGATATTAAAACACAACTGAGCTTTAATATAGCATCTCCACGAAAACGTAATTGAATTTGACTCGTGAGTATTATAGATATAAAAGAAAATATTTTGATCAAAAAATAAACATTTTCTGGAAAAAAGCAAATCTTTGGATATTTTTACTATACATTACTATATTATAGAATTTGTCTTGTAAAAATTTGAATTATTTTTAGAAATTGGGTTTTGATAAACTATTACAAGTTAAATAAGATAATTTAAATCATTAAACTATATATATAGTTTATATAATAGTATATTTATTTTTTAAATAAACACAAATTTGAAACACTGTTATAATAAACTAAAAGTACGTAAAAATCTGGGCCATTTTTGTTCTTTGATAGTTAATTTTGAATCAAACTCGAATCATTTTTTATTTTTGAATAAAAAACACTAAAAAGGAAGAAAAAGAAACTATAATAACCCGACTTTTTTATTTTTTACATGTTCTGGAAGTAAAAAACACAATAATTTGGGTAAAAGAAGAAAAAGGAAAAAGGGTGAGGGTTTTTCTCCAGGTGTGGGTTTCTCGCCTCACTTTAGTATATAAATCGTGCCGATTTAGGGGGCACTACGTACCCACCTAAATCTTCACAATTTCGTCGCTTCGATCCGTTATTTGGGTTTAATTATTTTATGGTTATTTTTTAGTTATTATTTCAAAGTGATAATTTTAATTTTTCTTATTTTAAATGAGCACTACACAAGAATTCTTGAAAAAGAATTTTCACAAATTTACTAATACTTATTCCGAAGAAGAAATGTTGGATTGTTTTAGGATTAAAGATGGAATTATTAAAGCAGCATCTACTAAAATTTTAAATAGAGAATGTAGAAAAGAATTATTGAAAATGAATATTAAATCTAGAAATGTTTATTTTGAACTTAGAAAAAAATAGATATCCAAATTAAAAATTATCAAAAATCAATTGTAAAATTAGAACAACCATTTTAAAGAATTGTGTTTGATAAATTAAATAAAACTGATAAACGAACTTTTTGGATTAATTAATAAAAAAGCAACATTAATTAAAGATTTAGATAATGCATAAATTCATAAAGAACTTGATAAAAAGAATTTAGAATGGAGTTTAAAACATAATACCGAAATAGATGATGAAGCAATATCTCAAGAATATTATAATTATGTTAATGATTAACTTAAGAATGAAAGAAAAAACGAATACATGATTAATGATTATTATAATATAAAAAATAATTTATAATGGAGTTTAAACAATAATATTGAACAAATAGATGAAGATGAAAACAGAGATCAAATTTATAATGAATGTTGACCATACAAACGATCAATAAATGATAATGAATATAAAACAGAAGGTGTAACATGACGTAGATAATAATATAATTCATGCTGATCTTAATTGTGGATTTGAAGAAAAATTAAGACGAATTGGTATGATTAGACAGTTCTTTAATCAATTAATTGAAAAACTAGATTCAACAGCAAATTTAGTTTATAAATATAGATTTACTGATACCACTTGGAAGACATATATGTTAAATTATAAAGAAAATATAGATGAATTTTTAAAATTATTTTCAAACGAAACTCTTGGTTTATATAATCAATCTGAAATTGAAAACAGTTCAGATTCTGCATTTTATGTTCAACATGAAGTTCCAGAACCTTTATTTATTACAGAATTAACAATTGAAGAATATGATTATAAAAAAGAAATTAATGAATATCGAAATAATGGTGCTGCATTCTTTGCTTATCATTATACAGAAGAATATAAATGTTTCTCTAAATATTTAAAAATAGCTCAAACATTTGATTCTCTTAGTGTTGAAAACAAAATTAGACACGAATTAAATAATAATTGTTTAATATATGCGTTACAACAAGCTAAAATAGATGAGAAAATTATTGATTTATACCGTGTTTATTGTTATTCAAAATATTAGAAGATCAAATTAATATATGAAGTATCTAAAATATGTAATATTAGAATTCAAATAAAACGTGAAGAATTAAACCGTAAAGATCATGCTAATACAATAATGAAATATATAGGATCAGATAATGAAGAAGCTACTGAAATTAGTATGTATTTATTCAGAGATTCAAATATGAAGGGTGATCATTATTTCTTAGATAAAAATATTACTATTACTCCATTTTATCTTAAGAATAGAGTTGAAATGAATAAATGGGCATTAGATCACAACAAACCAATTGAATCTATGTTTAATAAACAAAGAAAGAAAAGAAATTCATATTTAATCAATCCAAGAGCCAAATCCAGTATAAAATTATCTGAACTTATTTTGTAAATTAGAAATAATAACGGTTTTAAACCATATTCACTTAGTGATGTGCTTCATTTACCATCTGATTTATCTGATTATGTTAAACAATCAATCGAATCATTAGATTATCTAGATTTCGAAGTTAAACCAATAACAATGGAAAAAACTACGGAACGAAGTTCCTCAGACATTACATGTCGTAATAAAAAAATCTAAATTCAAAAACTATATTTACTATTATGCAGATTTCGAAGCTAGCACACAAGGAATTTATAAAGCATATTGTGTTGCTTATTCTAGACGAAATTCATCTCAAATTTCATGTAAATATGGAAATGAATGTGTAAAAGACTTCTTATCTGATTTAGATAACAATTCCGTTGTTTACTTTCATAATTTGAAATATGATTCGTGTTTCTTAGCAAAATATGGAATTGAGACATGTATTAAAAAAGACGGTAAAACTATGAAAATGAAACTAAATTATAATGGAAAAAGAATTGTTTTGAAAGATAGTTATTCAATGATTTCAAATTAGTTATCAGATTTTCCTAAAATGTTTGATTTTTTTTAATAGTCGAAAAGATTTATATCCTTATAATTACTACGTCGCAGATAGAATTCAATATAACGTTGGAATAATTTCAGAAACTGGTGAATATGAATCTAAAAAATGGAATAAAGAACAATATGAATTATTTAAAGAGAATATATCTAAAATTGATAATTGTTTAGTGGATGACGACAAGTTCGATATGAGATTATATTGGAAAATTCCACTATAATCAAGACGTTAGAATATTAAATT